AAATTTTAAATGATTTTTTAAAGCAAAAGGCCAGAGGTTCATTCATAAGACTTTATCTAAATAATTTGGGTTTCATTCTAACAAGAATTCATGCCAAGTCCTAATGGAAATTCATATCAAGTCCAGTCATTTCAGTTTATTTTCAACTATGCTAAGATCTTTAGCTCTGAATAAATGCCTGCAAAAAAATTCCAATAAGCAGAATAATATTGAAATAATCTCATAAAGTTGACCGGCACAGTAAAAGCGGATGATTTATTATGATAATTCAGTCGAATTTGCAATCAGCTTTGTTGTGAAAAATTAAACATCTTATTTTTAAATAATTTTAAATAATATTTATTTTATTTTCAACCTGTGCTGAGAGCATTAATACAAAAATATGCTTCCAGACATGGAAAACCACGTACAACGGAGCGTATGTGTAATTAGAGTTTAAGCAAAATATATGTATATGTATTTAAAATGTATTTAAATGCATTTAAAATATATATGTGTTTTTTTTTTTACGAACTTTATATATTTATTTTTTATTGAATATTTTGCAGATACCGTACAACATAAATTATCATATTAAATATTAAATTCTTTTTGAAATAATATTTTATTTTTTTTTAATTTTCAAAAAACTTGTGAGTGCAAAAATGCTTCAATTTCATATACGTGTGTAGTGTATGTGTGTTTGTGTGTGTGGTGAGCTAACAGACGTAAATGCAAAGCGCTTAGAAACAGATTCGCATAGTCATGGGCATACTGTACAAATTATCCTGGCATTCTTTTGTTATCCTGTAAACGGTATTTTGTAGCTGTTGTTGTTGCTGCTGTTGTTGTACTTTTCGTGTTGCCAGTGACGCCAGCGTCGACGTTGTTGCCATTGTTCAAAAATGTCACACTTTCTATACCACTTAACTGCTGCGTAAGCAGGTTGTTTGAGCTTTGGGGCAAAAGCAAAAAAAAAAAAAAAAAAAAAAAAAAAAAAAAAAAAAAAATAAATAGATTTTAGGAAAAATTTGCTAGAAGTCGAAAATATCAATAAATTATAGAAGAGTCAAAGAGTCTTATGAATATTCGAGAATAATGTAAGGACTTTTCTAGCCGTCTGAGCGGTCTGCCGTCTTAAGAGGTATCTTGTTCATGTTCCAGCACATTCTTGACTCACTGTGGCTTAACAGTTTCCAGCTCAAGTGTTTAATTACTAAACTACTTCAAGTGTTGAACAATGCTGAAAGCAAAACCCATGAAAATTATGAAACATGAATTGTGAGCATCGAGCTGTTAGACTGTTAGACTAGTAGACCGTTATACCGTTATACCGCTAGGCGTGACACTTCATTTCAGCCTCACTCTGCAGGCAATATGCGGACAATTAGTGTTTTGAGCAGGCTAAATAGAGCCACAGTCTCAGATGCACTTAACACAGTCCGCTCTGTGACCTTCAAGAGAGAAAACACCTCGGCTTTTGGGGGCTCTAGATACATACATATATACATATGTATATATGCATATGTGAACTGTATATGTGAACTCCTCCACAGTTGCTTGATTTGCTTGAGCCTGCTCGAGCGGCAGGGGGGCGAGGGCATCACCACATCTGGCACCTCGCCGGAGCAGCTGCCATTGCCTGTCGCGAGCAAGATGCCTTTGATAACCAGCGAATTCAAGGCCAGTCGCATCTACGAATCCTTTCGCGCTCTCTCGACCGTCCAGGGCAAGAGTCGCCTCAGCCGGCGCTATGTGAATGATACGAACGCGTATGGCGCACTGCGTAAGGCCCGGCCACGTACAGCGTCGGCGGACATGCTAAGCCGTAACATATCGAGCATTCTGGAGAACCTACTGAAGCGCTACGAGCAATCGCAGCTGCCCACCCATGGCCAGGGCCTGCCGACGGTGGTGCGCACCAATATCCTGATACGCAGCATGGGACCCGTCTCGGAGCTGGATATGGACTACTCAATGGACTGCTATTTCCGTCAGTATTGGCGCGACAAGCGGCTGAGCTTCCAGGGCCCCATCAAGAGTCTGTCGCTGAGCATCAAGATGCTGGACAAGATCTGGCGACCTGACACCTACTTCTACAATGGCAAACACTCGCATATCCACACGATTACCGTGCCCAATAAGCTGCTGCGACTGGATCAGGATGGTGGCATACTCTACTCGATGCGGTACGATTGGGGCTTTTCGCATCAAACGGCTGTTCCTAACGCTCCACTGTGTCTTTGCAGTCTCACCATCAAGGCAACCTGTCCAATGGAGCTGAAAAACTTTCCAATGGATCGCCAATCCTGTCCACTTATCATCGGCAGCTGTGGGTAGACGCCTCTGCCTTGCCCTTGCCTCCCTTTGCCACTAATCCTCCCTTGCAGATGGCTACACCAATCAGCAGCTGGTCTACGAGTGGCAGAACCACGACGATGCTGTCTCCTTCGTACCGGGCATGACGCTCAACCAGTTCGACTTGATCAGCATGATGCATCGCAACTTTACCTCCACGCGCCGCGAGGGCGACTTCAGCGTGCTGCACGTGGCCTTCAATCTCAAGCGTCACACTGGCTACTTCTTGATACAGGTGAGCCGTATCTATACATATATACATATATAGTTCCCCTCTTGATTTGCTCAGTCTGTGAGCTGTTCAGGTCTATGTGCCCTGCATATTGATTGTGGTGCTGTCGTGGGTCTCCTTCTGGATACATCGTGAGGCGACCAGCGACCGGGTTGGCCTCTGCGTGACCGCTGTGCTCACTCTGTCCACCATCAGCCTGGATTCGCGCACCGACTTGCCCAAGGTTAAGTACGCCACGGCCCTGGACTGGTTTCTGCTCATGAGTTTCCTCTATTGCATTGCCACGCTGTTGGAGTTCGCTGGCGTTCATTACTTCACCAAATTGGGCAGCGGCGAAATACCCCGCATCGACGATGAGTGGGAGGACATTGGAGCCTTGGGCTACTCCACGGGCGAAATTGCCGACGCGGCCGAGGCCAGCGACGACAGCGAGCCGGCCAACTCCGATAGCGATGTCTTTGTCTTTGCCGATCACGATGCCCTGCACTGTGAGCTGCCCTTGCCGGCGGACCTCAACGGCGGGGGCTACCCCAAGCGCAACACCTTCAGCTGCCCCATTTACAATGTGAGTTCGCCCAGTCAAACATTGCTGGAGTCCCATTTGCAACTCAATTGTGCTCTGCCTTTGCTTAAACTTTTCACTAGAATCAGCAGCAGGAGCCCGCTCACATCTTTCCAAGACTCTCCTCGCACGCCTCGACCATGGAGCGCACCACCCAAACGGAGCCGCCCGCCGTCTCCCGCATGCGTCAGATGTGGCTCTGCCTCAAGGGCGATGTCAAATTTCGCAGGCAGCGCGAACGCGATGCCGCTGCCGAGAAGAGCGTCCAGGGACGCCAGGGCGCCGGCTATGTGAACAGCATTTCATTGATTGATCGAGTGGCGCGCGTTGCCTTCCCCATGACATTTGCGCTGTTCAATTTGCTCTACTGGCTGGCCTACGGCATGTACAAGAAGGAGTTCTCCTGGTCAATGATTAAGGCCTGAGCTGCTTGCCAGAGATGAAGATTGGCAGCAGGCGACAACACAATTCTCATTCATATAGATGCCTGATGTATCTTGAAATTATTCAAACAAAGTCCATTTTGTTTTCTATATTCAAATAAACTTGTGCTGATATAGTCGATAAATATAGCAAATGCTTATGAGTTGACAAAATGTTTTTATTCTTAATCAGGTGGAACCAGAAAAAGCTGATTATTTCCGATTGGTCGTGCCCCTAATTGATATACAGTAGAATCCGATTATAGCGACACTCAAAGAACCGTCGTTATACCCAAAAGATATAAGTTTGTTCATACAAGATTGTCTGGGGATCCGAATTTTCGTCGCAATAACCGTACGGACGCTATAAGCGGAGTTGTTATAATCGGATTCTATTGTAGATTTCCATTTATGAGTTTAGATCAAAATTAATTTTATGTTTAGTAATTAATTAATCTTAACACAGATATATAATATACAGTGGTATCCGGTTATAACGACCCCGCCTAAAGTGTTATACCGTTACGTCGACGAAATGTAGATGTTTTGCTTGGTCCCCATACAAACTTTAATGAAAGAGCCTCCACTTAGTACGTTTCTGTCCGTCCCTTGAGCGTCGTTATAACCGGATTTCACTTTATATACGTTATATACCAAATTTAAAGACTTTTGTTTTTAGACTTGCGGACGGATGGAGGGTTCGACGTACGGACAGCATGGCAGGCATTGCAGAAAATAAATATACTCACTTCCCCAAGTGAATGAGTATAGTAAACAATTTTCAAACATTTTCATTTGATTTTCTCATTTTAGTCAGTTTTCTTCTTCCAACGGTTCCAACGGTTCTTCAATCTGAAACAAACAAAATCCCCGATCCCAGCCCATAGGCAGTAAAAATGCAATTTGTGTAAAATATGTAAACCATTTAAATAACATTTCTAAGAAATATACAGTAAATGATCTCAATGATATTGTGAATATTGTGAATAATTATGAAAAGCACTTGATTGAACAAGAGTGAAATTATTCGCGTCACATCGAGCTGCTGCCACGGATCATCGTTGGTGGTCCTCAATGCTAATTATGTCGCACAGCTCGTGCTCGTGCCAATTCCTTGTACAATTTGGCTAAACTCGTACTTAATTAATCTGTACCTAAATTTTCAAATTACCGGGAACACAATTACTGTGATTTACCTAATGTGAATAGCAATACTAAACTATATATATATTTTTTTATATATATGTATATACTCAAATGTGTGTGTGTGTGAGTGTGTGTGTGTGTGTGTGTGTGTATGTGTATATATCGCATATGTATATGTATGTATATGTTGCGGGTTTATCATTCCATTTATATAAATTGGTCAATGTCAATATATGTATATATATATATGTATGTATATACCATATACTAGTTTATCAGTGGGAGGGCAGCAGGTGGTGGCCGTGGAAGGGGCAATGATACTTGGGTAAGTACACGTTACTAACACTTTTAGCCGCAACTAATTATTCTAATATGTAGAAGATCCAGTAGCCGAGATTGAAAGCACAAAAGCTAATCGGGAATATCAAGCGGGAGTACTTGTCGATAATGTTAACATCTTTGATTTTCGGTATTGTCGCCCTAATGGCCGAGGCGCTCTTCTTAATGGCGTGCATCATGCGTGGACGCGCTGAGATGCCTGCTGAGAGAGACAGAGAGAGAGAGAGAGAGAGAGAGAGAGAGAGAGAGAGAGAGAGAGAGGGAGAGAGAGCAATTCCAAGAGAGGCTGTTAGTCGTCAACACTTGATAAGATTCTTTATCCCACTTACCTCTTTGGCCGCGATGTCTTAGCTGGCTGCGACCTGTTCCATAGTTGCGTGTTATGCGAAAACTTGGCGGAAACTTGGCCAAGTCCATGGTCTCGGTGCCGATGGAGCCGAGGGTTACATTGTAGTTACCTTTGCGCAACGAAGGTATAGGACTCATGCGTACGTCCTGCAGCTCAATAATGTCTTCTGTGGTTGAACACGTTTCGGATTTCTCCAATTTACCTGCCAGACAAACAGAGACAGAGACAAAAGAAAATATTACTGAAATACTCACTGAGATATTATAGTGGATCATCGTAGGCTGATTTATGTACCTATTTTATGTCGATCACAATCCTTCAGCTTTTTAATCTTCTTCTTGGCCCGCTTGCCCCAGTACGTATAATTGACTGCGGCGTATTCGAGCAGTGCCGCAAACACGAACACAAAACACATCACCAAATAGATATCGATGGCTTTCACGTAGGAGATGCGGGGCAGCGAGCTCCGTACACCGGTGCTGATCGTCGTCATCGTCAGCACGGTGGTGATGCCGAGCGCCACCCGAGCGCTCGTCGCCTCGTGGTTAATCCAAAATGATACCCAGGATAGCATCACGATCAGTATGCTGGGCAAATACGTCTGGAACACAAAGTATCCGATGTTGCGCTGCAACTTGAAGGAGAGCGACAGCCGCTGATAGACGCCAGTGGCCAGGCGCTCCTTCCTGTCATTGGTCTCATATCCAATGATCGTAAACTGTGGCAGTTCGGCGTCCTCGACGCCGCGTACCGGCGTTGGCTTCCAGTACATGACCACATCGCTGACCGTGTAACCATCTAAGCGAAATGAAACGGGAAGAGGTGAAACACAATGTCAAAATTATTAAACTAGGTCGATATGAAAAAGGAGGCGCATAAAGTAAAACTATATTTTATTAAACTATAGTTTCAGAATATATCAACTATTTAGCATAGCTTGCACATAATAATTTGATTGCTTGCACTCTACTGCTGCTCACTCGCTCTCACAGTCGCTGTCGCTTTGAGCAAGAGACTTCGTTCGGTTCTTTTCGTTTTTGTTTTCTTTTGAGCGCCTTTTGTTGAACTGTTCGTGTTCGTATAGGGAGAGACACGATTGACGTTCGCACTCAGCTGATGAAGTCAAGAGTCTCCCCATACACATGCGGCCACTTAATTCACGTACACACAACTCTCGCGTACATACAAATACAACAAAAGTATTTTCGCTCCATTCAACTCAAGCAAACGGTCAAGTAGCAACTAGAGCGAAACGGGCGAGCCGATCGCGAATCTGCTCGTTAAAGAACCGATGCAATCGGTTACGCTCTAAGTGCTTTCCTTTGCCTTTGAGTGTTTTCTCACAGTTTGAGTAGAAGACACATGTATGTATGTATGTATGTAGATATATGCAGACAACGAGAAACGGTCAACAAGTATTTGCGAGCTGTGCTTAAAAGAGAATGCTGCTGAGAGAATTATGAGTGAAATGTCTGTATAGGTATATGTATAGCTGTATATTTGCGAGCTATGCTACTTAACTAAATAAAATGAAAAACATTAAATTCAAAATGAGAAGGCAGCGGAACGTAAAACAATTCAACTACAATCAATTGTGTATATTGTAAAAAGGCAGATTATTCGACAACTGAAGAGAAGCCAGAGTGTGTGTATATTGTACTAATAGGAGCTAACAAAAAATCATTTTGAGCAGTTACAAATCCGATTGGATTATGTATTTCTTGATAGTTAAAGTTCGTATCCTTCACTTGACTACAAAACAAAAAGGTGAAGCAAAAGGTAAAGGAATTTAACTGCCATTCAATTTGTATATTGTTCTTATAGGAATCCGTCTGAGCGGCTATAAATCCAATTGGATACTGTTGTTCTTGATAGCAAAGACTCTCTCTCTCTCTCTTTCACTTGATAAAACCTAAGGCAAGCTGAGGCTGTATTCAAAAGGATTTAACTACAAACTGTTGAGCTATAAATAGCTACAAATCCAATTGGATTTTATATTTCTTTATAGCTGAGGCTTATACCTCTCAGTTAACTTACAGCTCTCGATTTCCACGGTGCAGTTCTGTGAGTCCAGTGGGTAGTAGTGCAAATCCATCATGCAGGCGAGTGTAGTGGTGAAGCGCATGCCGTAGGTAACGGCGCCATCGCCACCAAGACGCACCAGCTTATTGCGCTCGGTGACGTCATGCAGAAAGCTATGTCAAGTATACACTAAGTACTTCTATATGATTTATATATATACATATTTGACGGACCTGTTCTTGTCGTTGGCAAAGAATGTGTCTGGCACCCAGATCTTCTCGGCAAAGTCGCCAGATAGCGTCAGCACATCATTGACCCCATCGTCGTCGGCATCGGAATCGTAGTACGGGCCGTAGATGTTGAAAGCCAGGCGCTCGTCGCGCCAATACTGATTCAAGTACATTGTTATAGTATAATCCTGTAAAGTACATTTTAATTGAAGTATGCTCCAGCTAAGGCAGTTAGTTCTGTGTGCCCGACTTACCATATTAACTTCGGAGATCGCATCAAAGCTGGCTATAGTCAAATCCATGCCCACGTGCAGTGGCTCGCCCCCGAAATTGGGACGCAGCCGTATATCGTATCCTTGCAATATTTTTGAGATCGTCTGCGTAACATTCTCTAAGCGGCCAGCGAGCATTTCCTTGCGCTTACATCTGCGAAGCGACGGGGACAGAGAAGGAGAAAGAGAGAGGGGAAGATTGATATATCTTGGCTTACAAGGATCTGCTATTCCGCTTACCGTACTACAGTTAGCTGGGCGCTTAGCACTAACAGCAGCAATAGGCTGTAACAGACGCCCAGATGGCCAAGACTCGTCATATTGGCGGCAGTTAACTGTTTGCTGTTGCTCTCCTCTCTGCGATTCTCAACTCGTTGGCATCGTCTCAGCTGATGCTTTCACTTTCATACCGGATGGCATTGCCAATCTTTTGAATTACGTTTTCTTCACTCTCACACCTCCCTCTCTCTTCCACTCTCTCTCTCTCTCTCTCTCTCTCTCTCTCTCTCTCTCTCTCTCTCTCTCTCTCGCTCGTTATCGCTTTCTGCTTTTAGTGCTGCATAGTTAGTCGCGTGTTTGATAACGTTGCACCAGTGTATTTATATCTATAGTAATTGGATAGATATTTCGAATTGATATTATGTCATTACACAAGCCAAAACTAATGCATATATACATGTGTGTGTGTTATATGTGTATAACGGGAAAGACTTTCGAAAGTTTCCCTTTCTAATTGTTGTCTCACGTCGTTCAATGCATAGAATATTCAGCAGTTTGATAAGTGTTTGTTTATATGCGCGTCCTTCAAGCTTCAAGTTCCTGTTCAAAGACACCGACCGATGCACACACCTAAATATGCACATAAATATATCTAAATTTATATATGTATGTGTATGTGTATGTGTATGTGTATGTATATGTGGCTCAACTATCAATGATTTATGCTTATTCATAATAAATGCCAAGTGTAAGCACCAAATGCATTTCTCTGAACATCCATCCACTCAAATGGCACTCACATTTCTAATGGTTAACTAATGACAGACATTTCTCTGAATATATATGTATATGTTGTAAATATGCATATATGTATGTACGTATATTATATTCACGAAAATTGAGCTGTAAGTGTGCAATGAGCACATAAATATGTTTTCCCTAATAGCGTTTTCTGAGAGCGTCTCATGGGTTTCCTTCTTGCTCTTCCTCTTTTTGTTACTCTTGGTTTTTTTTGTTGCTCTTTTTTTTTTTTGTTTGTTTTTTTTTTTTTTTTTTGTTGCCTTATATAGTATTTCAGTTCGGTAATGTGGCCCTCATCATTGTTGCTCTGTCATAGACGTATGTACGATTGTTTGTCTTTTCAGCGTTTGACCCATTTTTCTTCTGTTTTTTGTTTGTTCATTTATTGCAGTTAGTGGCAAAGAAGAAAATAGAAAATGGCAAATGTGCCGTATTCGGATGCTCTATTTTTAAAGGACACATTTATAGGCACACACACAATGTAAACTGTAATAAATATGCGTATCTATCTATGTGTGTGTGTGTGTGTGTGTATGACATTGCACACAAGCATTTTTGCCATTTGCTTTTGGTATTCTATCAAATTTGCCAGTCTATAAAATTGCTAGCATATTATCTTGACACAGACACGAGCACACACACACACACACACACGCACACACACAGGCACTGGCTTCAAATATTAATTTGCTGTAACCCACAAAACAAACAGAAAACAACGACAACAACAACAAGCCTAAAATAATAACGCAACACCAGCGAATTAAACACGTCGAATGGGGCTTACGATTAACACGGATGCCCTCAAAAGAAATACGGGCAAAAAAGAAAATACGGAAAAATACGGAAAAAATATAGAAAAACCAAAAATTGAAAATGCAAATTACGATTTCTCATTCACTTTTTCCCGCTCGTCCTATATCTAATGTATATATGTATCTGTATCGCATCGCTGGGAGCGCGCGCGTCGTGGGCAGCAACGAATTTGGTTATGTGGAGCGGCGGCTACCGTTGCTAGCTAACGAATGATTACTGTCAGTTACCGTTACGTCTTCGGCTGCCAGTGCCACTGCTGGTGATGCTGCTGCTACGGCTGCTGCGACGGCTGCTGCTGCTTGCCGACTTGCTCTTGCTCTAATTGATGATGAAGATGATTATGGTGGGCCCACTCGGCATAGGCCCTGGGCCTGCGCATATTACATTCCGGGGCGACATTCCACTGCCAAACAGACAGCCAACCAGCCAACCAGCCAGGCAGCACACGTAACAAGCGCGCTTTCATTCAGAATCACGAGATGCCAATGCTCATTTAGGGTTGTCACCGTCACCGTTTCGCTGCTGCTGTTGCTGCTGCTGCTGCTGCTGTTGCCTGGCGCCATCTGGTGAGCTGAGCCCTACACTCACACAGAGAGGCTGGCAGACACACACACACATATATGTATGAGTGACAGCATTAATGTTAAGTATTTCAGGTACTTTAGCTGTACTCTAGTTTGCATCTCATTTGTATTGTTCAGCTAGGCGCATAGGCTATATGCAAATGTCAAAAATATACATATATTTAGATATATATATATATGTAGCATGTATAGCATATATGTATATATGTATATTCCCAGCTCAGGTCTCTCTCTCCCTTCAATGCCAAGCTAGGCTTGCCCATCTCTCTCTCTCTCTCTCTCTCTCTCTCTTTCCTTCTCTTTCCCTCTATATTTTCTACTAGACCTGGCTCTCTGTAATGCTGGCTTAGCTAGGCCAGTGCGGTTAGCGGCCAGTTTTGGCCTGAATGGCTGACCAGGCCAATTGATTTTGGCCAGCTGTTTGGCATGGGCCAGTGAGAGTCTGGTTGTGCACTCCCCGCATGTAACTCAATGATAAAAGCTTCCAATGCTGTGGCCAGCGAAAGCTAAGCGCAAACCATGAGAACTTTTGCCCAAAGGGCAGCAACAACAACAACAGCAGCTGAACAAAAAAAAAAAAAAAAAAAAAGCTTGCTCAGAGCGAATGCGAGACAAGGACTACAGCATCAGCAGCGCTTGCTGTTACAGTTACAGTTACATTGTTTTACGCAATCGCCTCTGTATATGTGCGTGCGTGCGAGTCTGTGTGTGTGTGTGTGTGCGCTCAAGTGAGCGCAAGCCGTGCCTCTGTATGGGTGAGTTACGCTCGGCCCATTCAGTAAGCCCATTGAGAAACCATTGTGCTCGCCTTGTTTATGCTCAGCCAGCGCTGGCTGCAAGCTTTCGCCTCGCACACACAGAGACAGGACACACGCGCACAGATACTTACAGAGGCGCGCACACACACACTGATGCATGTGCGTGTGTGTAAGTGTGTGTGTGTGGGACAATTGGCTCAGCTGCGAATTGGGAGCAGAATGCCGACTGATGCTGCTGCCGCTGCTGTGAATCTCTGGTTATTTCACATTTTTCGTAGTACGGAGCACGGAAGCAGACGTTCCAAGCCTTGAGCTAACGCACGTACATCACGACGCTTCGACGACGACAACAACAACAACAACAACAACAACAACTGTCATAGCTACAACGACAACAACAAGTTACATGGAACTTCAGCAGGGACTTGGCCAATAGTACAAAAAGCAAAAAGCAAAAACAACAAATTAACGAAAAATCAAAACCGAACGCAAATTACAGCAAATTTGTTGTTAAATTTTATCTTCAAATTTGTGTTGTGTTGTTGTTGTTTATTTAATTTTTTTTTTTTTTAAGTGTTGTGCGAATGTGAATCGATGAGGCAAGCAAAAGAATCAACAGAATTCCGAGCACATATGTACACACACACACACACATAAATAGACAGACACACATGGAAAGTGTCTAAATGCAGAGTGCTGCGTGTGTGTGCGTGTGTGTATGTGCGCGACCATTAATCAAAAATACAATTATAAATTTTGCATAAAATTGTGTTGACTAAACGGCTTAAGCCATTAAATACATAATATGTATGTATCCCACATACATTGTGCAGTTCGTAGGTGTGTGTGAGTGCGCATGCTCCACATAATATTTTATTTAGTGCAGCAAGAGCAAAGCTCAACAAAAAATTCAAGAAGAAGAACTTAAAAAAAAAAAAACAAGGGAAACAGAAACAGGAAAAAAGCCAACGACAACAGCAACAACAACAGCAGCAAAAATAACAACATTAATATAAACGCCACGCAAGTGGAATACAAATATCGAGTTAAAACTTTAATTCGAAATAAATTGAAATAGAAGGAAAATGTTCTAAAAATAAAATTAGCGGCGCTTGTGCTAATGCCGCCTCCGCATTCGCTGACGACTTAGAGAGTGGGTGTTTCCCACGCCGGAGCACATACATACGCATCAAATACTCACACACACACACACATATATATACACATAGGCATACACATAGACACTAACACCAGCAAACACTAACAGAAATACACACACACACACCCACACATATATATATACGTATCAGGTACTCTCACACACTCACACACATATACATGTATACGCAGTTATAAAGTAGCTACTGGTCGCAGCAGCAGCCGCAGCTAATGGCAATAACAGTTAAAAATATGCAAAACTAATTTGTAAAATTAAAATTTAAAAGAAGAAAATAATACATTTATTAATTCAATAAAACAAAAAACAAAAAAAATAAATCATTAAAAAATAATATTTATACATACATACATTCGCAAACACTTCGTGTGCGCTCGCAACAGGCATTTCTGTTGTTGTTGTTGTTGTTGTCCTGTAACTAAAAATAGAAAATCGTCGAACAGAAAAGACTGAAGCTTGACTTAAATTAGATTTACGAATATTCAAATGAATTAATTAAATACAAATAAAAATCGAAAATACAAAAAATATAAATTAATTGTAATTTCTGTAAAGCAAATGCTCAGCCCTTACACACACACACACATACACACACAACACTCACATATATTTTGCTATCTGTGTATGTATGTAATTCGCTGGGCTTGCTCTACAGCAATATAACAGTTAAAGTTGAAAAGTAATTAAATGATGCAGCGTATATGCCATAATGTAGAGATCATAATGAGATAGTATATTCCGTTTATCGATTGACAGCCTCAACATGCTCCGCTGGATCTCTCTCCCACTCGCGCACACAACTACACAAAAATAACTAATAGAAAAACAACATGAGAATAACAAAGAAATAAATAACAAATATTCAGAAAATACAAAAATAAAATAAAAGCGCTTATGAAATCAAATGAAGACTGATATGTATGAAATGTGTAACAAGTGATATTCAAACTTGAGCCGAATCGTGGATTAGTGCAGACAAATGTTTTATGCAAATCGCGTTTGCCTCAAAACGCCCAACAATAGCAATAACAACAACCTCGACAACAACAGCAACCTCAGCAACAACAACCACAACCACAACAACAACAACAACAGCAGCAGCAAGTTGGCGTGCCAGGGTAAACCGATGTACATATGTATGTATGGCAGAGTACATATGTATGTACATACGGTCCTGTGAATGTGACACCTACGCAACGCGAAGCGCATTAAAGTGCGAACACAGCAGCAGCAGCAGCAGCAGCAGCAGCAGCGGCAGCAGCAGCAGCCGCCAACACAGCAGCCCAACTCCAATCAGTAGCGCGTCACACGCACGCGCCAAAAACCGCTAAAACAAAAAGAGACAACAACAGCAGCAGCAGCAGCAGCAGCAGCAAGAGCAGCAGCGGCAGCCACAGAAACAGCGCCAGCAGGAGCAGCAGCAGCAGCCGCAGCCGCAGCAGCAGCCGCAGCACCAGCAGCAGCGCCGTGCGTGCGCTCCATTGTGTGCGTGTGCGTGTGCCTCTGCCTGCGCCTGTGTCTGTGCCTGTGTGTGTGCCTGTGTGTGTGTGCGTGCGGTGGCAATGTATTTGCTAGCCTTGCCGTTTTGCCCTTTGGTGTGCCTGCTATGCTTGTGTAAGTATATTATCTCTGTCACGTACATCCTCAACATACAAACAGACACACACACACACACACACACACACACACACACATAGTTAAATATACACCCACACAGGCAGCATGCTTTTGCGTACTTATCAATGAAAATTGGTATTAGCATTAGCATTAGAGCATTCTCTAGAGATTAAGTGCAAATTTCAAGCGATTAGCCAACTAGGGGCCGCACTAGCATTAATCAACTGTCTATTTTTAAATGTCACACACATATCTATATCTATATTTAGGTATATTCTATACACATCAAACTCCTCTTACGTTTCCCTCTTCAGTGCATTCTAATTGAATATTTTAAGTGTTTACTTTGCATTTGTTTCTTTTCCATTATCTTTTCAATTTGCCTTGGCGCACTTCATTTTGGGTATCTACATAATTAGTATACGCATATGTATATGCTTGTATGTTTGTGTGTGTGTGTGTGTGTGTGTGTGTGTGTGTGCGTGCGTGGTGTGGTGTTTGCTACACCTATGTGTGTATACCACCTGTTAGTTTATTAGCCCACGCACATATGCAGCCATTAGCACATACATATGTATATGTATGTGTGTGTTTGTTTATGTATGTGTGACTAGTACGTCTATTGCATGAATGTGTGTGTTTTTCTCTTTTATTTTTGCAATCAAAATAGTTTTCCTAATTAATGCAAAAGAAAAATGTATTGAATATTTTCAAGAAAAGCAATTTAGTTTTACAATTAAAATGCAATATTAAATATTCATTGGAAACGTTTACATTCTACATTTCTCAAAAAACTAAATTGATTTATTTAAAGTAAAAGAATTTATTGAGCTCAAAGAATTTAAATTGAACAAAAAAAATTTTAAATTCAAATTAAATAAAAAAGAAAGGAGGAGAAGCGTAAATGCGACTAAAACAGAGTGAGAATGGGGAAAAAAAGAAATTAAATGAATTGGAAATTCAACAATTCTATGGGATAGATTTTGCCAGTCTAATGATCTATGCCCCTGTTATATATATTTTTTTTTTATAAATCACGAATAGTACAGGTACGACAGATAGGGGATCTCAATTCACTACTTTTCTGCAACTATCCAGAAAGGAACTGGTGTATGTAGTGAAGTGTAGTGCCATTAACAACAATGACAAATGTATATAAAAAAGCGTAAAGCTCTTTTCAGTATACGTCATATGCATACATTATTCTAGTACATTCATTATATAGTTTAGAGCTAGCAAATATTTTATTACAATTACATCGTCATGCTTACTCATGATAAAACTTTTCTTCCAGTTCTGGGAATCGGCAACTTAACTCATGGACTTGGTGAACAGTATGATCGTGGAATAAACAATCGAGGTGATGGTGGCGGTGCCGAAAATACGCAAGAACGTCCGCAGCACTGGTATCAGCCGGCGCACCCACGCTCGGCCAATGCCAACGGACATGGTGTGCACGAGGATGACTTGGCCGACGATCTGTTGCATAAGGAGGACGATCATGATTATCTAACCGCATCCGACTATCCGCCACATCAGGAGCATAATCATGATGATGAGCACGATCATGAACACGAACACGATCAAGATCACGATCGCGATCACGACCACGATCCCGACCATGATCACGAGCTGGATCATGATCATGACCATGACCATATTGATGATAATCTAGAGGACAATGGAGATGGCAGTAAGATGTACGGTCATGTTTATATTAAGGAGCCAATGATACCTCACAAGCCGAGCGTTACGTCCGGCACTGGCACTACCAGCTCGGGTGATACTCCGAAATTTCGTAATGTGGGCGCACAGGGTGGGCGTGGCGACATGTATGTGGTGCGCGAATCGGACCGACAGACGAGCACTCGAGGTCGCGACGGATTCGTGGCCGGGGCCAGCAACAAGCAGAAGGGATTCCGGCCATTCGCCAACCGGGTTGTGGTCCACGATGATCCGCGGCAGCTGGGCCAGCCCGGCGATGGCTACAGCGCACCGCCGTCCACTGGCTGCCACAACACCTGCGAGGAGTCGCAGTGGCAGTGCAGCAATTGCCAGTGCATCGAGTCGCACGGCCGCTGCAATCGCGAGGTGCAGTGCACGGATGCCAGCGACGAGTACGACTGCGACAACATGGACGACATGATGTCCAAGCTGCAGAAGGAGTGCGAGCAGAGCGGCCTGCATGTGATGTGCCCCAAGACCTATCGCTGCATCAACAAGGACTGGCTGTGCGATGGCGACGACGACTGCGGCGACTACTCCGATGAGACGCACTGCGGCGCCCGCACCAACTGCACCGAGGATCAGTTTGAGTGCCAGAACGGCTTCTGCATTCCGCGGCAGTGGGTCTGCGATGGCGAAAACGATTGCAAGGATTACTCGGACGAGGCGCACTGCAATCGCAGTAGCTGCACCGACGAGCACTTCACCTGCAACGATGGCTACTGCATCTCGTTGGCCTTTCGCTGTGATGGCGAACGCGATTGTGATGACAACTCCGATGAGCTGAAGTGCCCGGCCGTCATCAACAGCTGTCCGGAGGGCGAGTTCAAGTGCCGCAGCGGACTGGGCGGTGCCGGCGGGCCCAGTGGACAGTGCATACTCAATCGCTTTCGCTGTGACGGCGACAACGACTGCGGCGACTGGAGCGACGAGGAGAACTGCCAGCAGAAGCCGTCCCAGTGCACCTCCGGCGAATACAAGTGCGCCGATGGCACCTGCATACCCAAGCGCTGGAAGTGCGACAAGGAGCAGGACTGCGATGGCGGCGAGGATGAGAACGATTGCGGCAACATGAGTCCGGAGCATCCCCTGACCTGCGGCCCCGACGAATTCACCTGCCACAATGGACGTTGCATTTTGGTAAGCGCTCCATTGAAAGCTCCTTTGGGGGTAATCAGTGACATCGTAGGGAAAGGTTCTTCCCATCGTCCGCATACCTCAATTGTAACTTCAATTCCCTTTTAGCGCACTTGGCTTTGCGATGGCTATCCGGATTGTTCATCGGCGGAAGATGAGGTCGACTGTCATCTGTTGTGTGACGCCGGCCAGTTCCTTTGTCCGGCCAAGAAGAACATCACCAATCTGAAGTGAGTGCCAGGTGAACCGCTAGCCTAGACATGCGTTAACCTTGTAAATCTTCTGCAGAATCTGCGTGCACCAGAAGCACGTCTGTGATGGTCAGAACGACTGTCCCCTGGGCGAGGATGAGGTGAACTGTCCCGTGGAGCAGAAGTGCCCCGAGCCCCAGCAGTGTGAGCAGCTGTGCATCAAGACGGCGCGAGGACGCGATGAATGCGCCTGCCGGTTGGGCTACCTAATGCACGCCAACAAGCGCAAGTAGGTTCCTCGCACCGACTCCTTTCGTATTTCAAGTGTAATCCGGCCGTATTCTATCTGTTTGTATTCTCCCGTGTACAGCTGCACGGACATAGACGAGTGCCAATATCTGACGAGTCCCGTCTGCTCGCAGAAGTGCCACAATACGCTGGGCTCGTTCGTCTGCTCCTGCGAGATGGGGTACATATTACGGCCGGATCTGCGCACCTGCAAGGCGCTGGGCGGGGCGATGACGCTGCTCGTGGCAAACCGCTGGGACATTCGACGCGTAACGCTAAGCAATAATCGTTATATGGCAATAGTGAAGGGACTGCACAATGCAATCGCCTTGGACTTTCATTACCGGAAGGGTCTGTTGTTCTGGTCGGATGTCTCCACCGATGTGATCAAAATGGTTAACATCAATGGCACCCAAGTGCGCAGCATTATCAAATGGGGCTTGGAGTCGCCGGGCGGCATTGCCGTCGACTGGGTGCATGATCTATTGTTTTGGACGGATTCGGGCACGCGACGTGTCGAGGTATCGAACTTTCAGGGAAACTTACGTACGGTGATTGCCTCGAGTGATCTGGATAAGCCGCGCGCCATTGTCATCCATCCGGGCGAAGCTCTGGCATTCTGGAGTGACTGGGGACCAAATCCGAAGATCGAACGCGCCCACATGGATGGCTCACAGCGACAGGTGATTATATCGAAGGGCGTCACCTGGCCGAATGGCCTGGCCATTGATTATCCAAATAGCAAAATCTATTGGGCCGATGCCAAGCAGCATGCCATTGAGTGCTCCAATTTGGATGGTAGCGAACGCATCAAAGTGCTCAGCACCCATCTACCTCATCCATTTGCGCTGACCATATTCGAGGACACGATGTACTGGACCGACTGGAATACAAAGACTGTCTCAGCTGCCAATAAGATAACCGGCAAGGGTTTTCGTTCGGTGCACGAGAATTTTCATTTTCCCATGGACATTCACGCCTATCATCCGGCACGCCAGCCGGACTATCAGGATCGCTGCCAAAAGGACAGGCGTGGAATGCGCGGCGGCTGCTCCCATTTGTGCCTGCCCAATAAGACCTCACGCCGCTGCGGCTGTCCCATTGGACTGTCACTGAA